CCCCAAAACCCCAAAACCCCAAAACCCCAGCCTCTAGTCATTACAATTAAATTTAAAGAACTTATGTCCTTACTCCCACTCACTATCAGCCGCCATGAGTCAATTAACGATTCCTCTTTTTTAAACTCCAACAAAATCTCAAGAGAGTTGATGATCGCAGATCAGTTTGGCGGAATGAGCAGCTTCGAGATAGACCTCTTTGCTATTGAAGAACAGGTGTAAGAAGTTGACTAACATCTAGTGAAAAGAAAAGTAGTATTAAAGCCTACATCTTAAGATTCATATCAATCATATTTTTCTCGGTTAGCATTGTTCTATCAAAGCTAGCCTATGTTGGAAACCCAGCTATTAGCGGATTCGACTATGGCTTTTTCAGAGGAGGATTCCTAATGTTTGGTAAGATTAAGTCTTATTTGTAGCCGGGATTATTGAAGCGATGTACTTTGGTGTAAATGTGACAAAAATCCCAAGAGAAATAACTATCTCAGTGATATTGAGAACTCTTACTGGAGCTGTAGGCATGCCCTGCTTCTTCATTGCAATCAAATACATTCCGACAAGTCAAGGAGCAATCATCACAAGTTTGAATCCTTTAATTGGCACAATATTATCTTTCTTCTTCCTTGCTGAGAGTTTCCCAAAGAGAAATATCATATTTTTGCTATCTTCTTGATTTGGGGTTATCTTGATTAACCTTACCAAACCAAGCAGCAACACTATTTCTGACGATGCAGACATGTATGTCGTAGGGTTCTTGCTATGCCTAGTTTGTCTAGCTTTCCTTTCCACTGGTGTTGTATGTAGCAAACACATTAACCAGCATGTTCACTCTGTGTACTCTCCGTTTTATTTCTCTTTTGGGGTCTTCCTAAATGCAATTATGACTTTATTTTTCTGCAGAGATCAGCTCCACTTTGCTGAATATGAATTAAGAGATGTTCTTCTGTTGAGCTCAGGATGAGTTTTAAGTTATTTGTCCGAGTCATTACTAAGCTACGCTACAAAATTCACAACAGCAGTAAACCTGCAGCCAATCAGCTATTTGAACCCGTGCATTCTACTAATTATCGATATCGCACTGTTCCATTACGACTTCGATCAGCTTTATTTCATCGGATTCGTTGTAATATTTGTATCCGTGATGACCCCAATTTTAATTGATTGGTCTAAGTAAAATAAGAAAAAGTTGTTAATAATAATTATTAAAAAATTTCTTCTTCTGTTTATTTCAACAGAATAGGGTATAAAAGGGGTTTTGGGGTTTTGGGGTTTTGGGGTTTTGGGG